ATACCATCAGCAACGCTTACATCATGCCTTCAACACGGCAAACCTAAACCTTACAACCATTTGTTAGATTCTTATGACAACTCAACTTAATTCCACTTATGAGTGAGCATCAATTTAAAAAAAAAAATGATTTAAATAACTGCATTGTATAAAGCATGGTAATAATGAAAGACTGCCAAAAAGCACAGAATTACAGTTAAATCATAAACATTTTTAGTGTAGGTCTACTTTCTCAATAGGCAAGGTCACATCAACAGATGGAATGAACGAGAGTTTTGATCAAGGGCTTCGTGACCACCATGACCTACATCTGACATGTATTCACCCTAAGGACTGAGTTCAGGAGACAATTAAGTCAACTGAAGATTTAATCTGTACAAAGACTACACACACAAAAAGACCTTGAGATCCTGCTTCTCCCATTTCCAATCCATGGTGAACACTGCGGTGCTGATCTGTCAGAGGCCCAGCTCTAGGGGTGGCTCACTCAGCTACCACTCGCCAAGTGTCTTCCCCGAGCTGGGAAAGCGTAACCCTCAGTTTCATTCTCCCATGCAGCTGGGGATGCTGTGTGACCTGGCCTGGCTAGGACGACATCAGCAGAATGAAGCATGCTGGGATAGCTGGAAAACTCTGACTGTGAAGTGGACACCTGGAAAGGTGGCAGTGCCCATGCCCTCTTCTGTCTGATTGCAGATGCTCTGCCTGGAGTTGCAGCTGTCATCTGTTAAGAGGTAATGGTAACAAGCAAAAAAGCCAAAAGCCAACCTGCCAAGGACAGTAGGGAAAGATGAAGACACCCGAGTCCATGCTGGCTCCCAAGTTGCTGGACGGAGCCCTCCTTCCACTATCTTTGTTCAAAAACCACACAAATGAACAAAAATCTGACCTGGTGAACACACTGGCAGGTTCCTGCTACAGACAGCTAAAAGTATCCCTAAGAAATACATTTTAGGGCTTCCCCTGGTGGCTCAGCGGTTGAGCGCTGGGCTGTGAGGCTGCCCACGGCCTCTGCAGCGCCGGTTCGTTCCCCGGCCACCGGCGAGGGTCCCACAAAAAAAAAAAAGAAAGAAAGAAAGAAATACATTTTAATAGCTTCCTCCCAAAGCCTGGTCTCCAGTCCTCACCCTGACTGCCCACGGTAACTGGACAGCCCACCCGACGGGCACGCGTGTCTGTCCTTGCACTGTGTGTACCTGACAGTGGCCCACCTCTGCACGGCGCCAGCACCCCGGGGCCCAGGCATTTGTGCAGGTGCAGGCTCACAGGAACGGACACCCTAAGGGGCACACCACAAAACCAGTCTCTTTTTCTCAATATCTTGCCATTGCTTTCGCAATTCCCATTTGGTAAGGAAATGTCCCCTTCTCTGAAACACCTCAGTAGTGCTTTACTTATACTTTAATGGCACATCACCTTGTCTCTTCTGCTATATTCACTTAATGTATTTTCTCTGCCCAGCTAGGCTAACAGTGGGCGTTATGTTGGTCACTGTGCTGCTACACTGTGACAGTGCCCAGAACAAAGACCTCAAGGACAGAGAAAACTGTTAATTGAGCTGAGCAGGTAACTTGTATTGCCTTGAATTAGCATTTAAACACATTAGGAAATTTTAGTAAATACTACGGTGAGCATCTCTTTACTATTTCCTGAATTTTGGGGAAAAATAAGGCCATGAACTCCAAAAGGACACTTTTGCACATGCATGTTGCAAAATGTCCCCATGGCGTCAAAATGCAGAACGTACACACGAGTCTCCACCAAAACACAGGCTGGAGGGGAAATGTCTGGTCGTCGTAAGTATGAGGCTGGCACCCACGTGGACGGAGGAAATGGAATTTTAACATAATCTCTTGCAGCTGCTAAGGGATTCACGCTATTTTTAACTGCTCAGAACAAAGTCTAGCACCTAATCCTTATTTGATAAATGATATTTGTTTTATTATCAACACAAAAATAGATGCCAGAGGTGAGATGTAACTGGCTGAATGGAGAAGCCATACAGGGCAGTACACACACTCTTACCTGAACCTCCTCTCAAGGAAACTGCCTCCTCGCCTCCCCTGTCCTAACTCAGACTTCATTGCCCCAGGTCAGACTATAGAGGGTTTGGCAGAAAATATCTAGGTGATAGAGCGCTTATCTCTACGGCCATCAGTTATGTCCTCAAAGAGAGCACCTTTACTCACAAGGCAACCAGGCTGGCAGCAAAGAGGGAAGAAAGCAGGTTTCCCCTGGAGGCCCTTCCTGGCTGTGGTCAGCCATGGAAGGAGGCGGAGAGCCAGAGGACCCGGGGATGGCAGGGTTAGAAAGGTCCAGCACAGCAGCAAGATGACTGACAGCCTAACGGGGACCAAAGCGGGAGAATGGGCCCCTCCTCGTCTGCCACCTAGTACAGTCACAGCCACACAGAGAGGCCGCTGGGATGCACCCTGGGGACAGGAACCTGAGGCATTCCTCTTGCTCTCAAGAGCAGAGCATTCTGAGTTTGCTGAAGTGAACAACAGTAAAAGATCTTAAAACACTGATACTGGGCTGACATTGTAATTAACAGGACCAAGAAACCCAGGCCTGGGGCAGAAGGGCGGCTCCTGCGCACACACATCATGGCGCCAGATAGCAGAGGCTGCAGCTCCTTCCCTCAGCACCTCCCATTGGCCTCGGCTTCAAAAGTGCAGCCAGCAGCACAGCCTCCTGGGCTACTTGGGGGAGAACAATGTGGCCCCAAAGTGGGCCAGATAAGCAGTTAGGAGTCGATCTAAGAAGAGAACCCAGGTGGGGGAGCAGGTGCAGAGATTAGCAGTAGGAAAGAATGTTCCTCCAGTGTCAACAAGATTTTACACTCTTACTTTAGAATGAGAGAGTGAAAGTACTCATAATTAGAAATACTATTATTTTAAGGATGTAAGCAAATCCCCTTATTAAATGTCAAGAATACTGTGTTTATCCACTAACAACAATTCTGGCATTTTTTTTTTTTTACATTAGTAAAAAGTTCATTCAGTAAGATAGTGAGGTGACCTTTCTTTTCACTTTAAATACAAACATTAATTTCATGTTTTATAGTATTTGCAACCCTTGTAGAAGCAAAGTGCTCTTTAATTATCAAGTCTCTCTTCCTGAAAAGGTTATGTGAAAATATCATAGCATTTACTTTTAAAAAAGAAAAAAAACGGGCAAAGTGTTTGTTACACGCTAGAATAGAAAATGTAAACAGAAAGGAAACCACTAAAAAAATAGCATATTAAGATGACTGTCTAGAGAGCTTCCCATCTCTTACACGAGAAAATCTACACATCTAAGACACGGGCCTCGGCAGAGTCAGAGCAGCGCTAGCTGGTCCCTGAGCCAGTCATGCTGGGACAGAGGGGCCTTCACTCAGCTGCCTCCCTCGGCCTTCCTCCAACTTGCACTTAGATGTTAAGAAGACACGGCTCTCGGGCCTCCCTGGTGACGCAGCAGTTGAGCGCTGGGTTGCGAAGCTGCCTGCAGCCTCTGCAGCGCCGGTTCGATCCCCGGCTGCTCCCCGGCCACCGGAGGAGGGTCCCACATGGCACGCAGACCTCTCCTGCCGCCTGCTGCTCCCCTCAGCAGTGTACTTCGGTCCTTCTGCCTGCTCAGTTCCCTGCTCTGGCTCTGGTGAGTTCTCTCACCCTCCTGCGCTTCTGACTGTACCCAGTGCTTGTATAAATGATAAATAAATAAATAAATCTTTAAAAAAAAAAAAAAAAAGAAGACACGGCTCTCTAGTGAAAAATATGACATCCTTTTGTGTATTTTTAACTATAAGGCTTCTGAAGTGTTGTTCTAGGAGCCTACATCAAATTTCCTAAAAAGGCCCAATGCCCAAAGCCCCTGTTTTGAGAAAGAGGATCAGGGAATTCTTACAACTGTGCAGGAGCAGTGTTAGCCCACCGTTTCTGCTGCTACACAGCCACAGACATACAGATGAGGCCTGTGCCCTGAGGCCTGCACCCTGACACTTTCCCTGTTCCTCCATTCCGTGCTTAAAAAAAAAAAAAAAAATTTAAAAAGAACCATAATGGAGCCTGTTTGAAAACACCACCCACACTTGCGTCTCCCGAACCTGTGGGCACTTCCCCAAAAGACAATTCAATACTCACATCAACAATGTGAGAGGCATTCACGTTCTGGTGAGATCTCCACCCAGAAGTGTGCTTGTTATTGCAACGTAGCTAATAAAGAACTATACCCTGGTTCTACAAAATAAATAAATATTAAAAATTAAGAAATGACGAAGAGAAGCGCCGGGCACTGAGCCGGCCCTGACCAGGGACAGTGAGGGGGGCGGGTTGGGGCTCAGTGCTTCAGGCTAGGAGACACCCCACCGAGGAGCAGCCCCTGCTATGTCCGGTGCATGGCTGTGGGCTGCAGGTGGATCCCCTTGTTCTCCCCAGAGGACAAAAGCATAGGAACCCAGGGCTGCTCAGGTGGGAAGCCCTTGCTGGTGGAGGCTGAGGCCCAACATGGAGGCTAGATGTGGCCCCGTCCTTGCTCCCCTCCATGCGCCTGGGCAAATAACCAGGTCTTTTTGGAACTGAGCTCTGAAAAAAACCTTTGGAATGATGGGGTCATTGGAACCTCGAGTTTATAGCCGGCGGGCCAGGAGCCCAGGTGACATCCTGGGTCTGTGACTGGCATCTGAGCGGGTGTGTGGCAGCCTTGCAGGATGACCCTGTATCCTGTGGACTCAGATGCCATTCTCGGGCAGTGTCAGGACTGAGCTGACTTGGAGGACAAGGAGCCGGTGTACTAGAATTGCTTGGCAGGGGATGACCCCCCATTGTAACTGATGGGAGGAAAAGCAGTCATCTCTGAAAAGCAAGTTTAAAATATGTGAAGAAAGACATGACAATTGGTTTAATTATTTTTGCAACTCAAAGAGACTGTAACTCCCCAATCTTGAATATACACAGATACAACGGGAAGGTATCACTGGGTTGGAAAGGAGAGCCCCAGAAAGCCGGCTCCCCCACGGAGCCCCAGGGCTTCCAGAAGAGCAGCAGTCACTAAGCACATTTTACCACCCCGACCAAAGCTGACGGCTTCACTGCCCGTCTGCTCCTGCTGGCTCCAGCTCTCCAAAGCCCCACCTGGCACAGAACTTCCTAAGCTTCAGCATGGGACATGCCCGAAGACCAGGTGAAGCCACCTTCCTCGCACTGCCCTTTCCACCGTAGCTGATTCCTCCTTTTACCAAACAGAAGAACTATCAGGAATAAACACGTCAGCAAGCCAGCGGGCCCTCTCTGCTCACTGCCCGCCACCCAGCAAGCTCTTCCCACCCCAGTCACAGAGAGTATGGATTCTAAGAAAGGGATCAGAATATTCCAAGTTTTATGCTACTACAAAAGTATGACATGTCCCGATAGAAGAAATCTGGAATTGCTCAGACTCACCGGTAGCCCAAGCAATGCTATCTGACTGGCGTGGGCCTGAGACAGCAAGGGAGGGAGTGGCATGTAGAGCTGGTGCTGCAGTCACTAGGCTCGCCCCGGGCCGTGCTGCCTTCTGTGATGAAGGTGAAATGAATTCCCTTTCTTTTTAAAGTGACTGCCATTTTTGTTTTTAATATGAGGACTTTCTGAGGAATGAAAACATTAAAAAGGACTAAAATTAAGTAACTTATCACGTCAACTGGGGAAAAAACCAGAAAGACCTAAGGAAGCACAGAAGTGGAGATTCATTCCTCAGCAAAAGCTAGCTGGCTGGGGCACAAAGGGAAATCTGGCATGTATAGTAAGAAGCAAAATCAAGAATCACTGGAGTGGACACTAAAAACACAATTTAAAATTTAAAAAATACTCTCCCTATATAGGGAATTCCTACTTCCCAATATATTTAATTACCTATGATCACATCATTTCCAGCAAAACTCGACTCAAGCTGTCCCCATCTTGGCGGGGGGCGAGGGGGAGGGAGTAGGTATGATGAACATGTTGACATTACTTTTAAAATGATGTCTGGAAATAAGAAAAAAAATGGTACCTTTTCCAATTCCCTGGGTATTCGCATACAAGTGTACACGCGCTCTCTTCTTTCTGTGTACTTGGCCTCATTGTGCTCGAGGAAGTACCCTCGGGTTAGTTCAGCGCTGAGGAACCTCAGCAGCGAGAGCTCTACGGGAAAGAGGACACAAAACAAAGACAACAGTGTTTATCAGGAACTCACTGGGGGCTGGGGCCACAGGTCACGCAGCTCTACAATGAGAATAAAACCAAGGACTCTGATTCCGTGCCCAGAACTGAAGAAACTACACACGAGTCACCAGCCAAGACCCCAAGAAGGTGGTGGCATGTAGCTGCCATGCCAGGGGCGCAGCAGGGACTCGGACAGGGCCAGAGCAGTCACACGGCGCTTTGGAGAGCCTGCCCTGGCCTCAACGGTGACCTAGGACCTGGACGGTTGGAGAGATGACGGGAGGTGAAGAGAGCAAATACCAAGAGTGCGTACAATGGGCACTGCACATGCGGAATGGAAAGGGAGCCAGGTCACCTCACGGGCTTGGCTTAAGCCCCAGACCATCCCGGGCGAACGACATGGGTTCCGCGCGATGCAGCGTCGCAGACTCTGTGCGAGTGTGTGCACGATGCCATTTCCTGGGGGCTGGCTCACCAGCAGGATGATGAGCATGATAAGCTACACAAGGCAGAAATCAGCCAATTCTGGAAAAGCCCCTTCCCCTGATCTGTCCGTTTGCCCACCCCTCTGTTTACCTACAGTCATGGGGTCACCTCAGGCCAGAGGAGGCTGAAGCCTCTGTGCTGGGCTCTCTCTGCAGACCTGGTGGGGAGCTGCGGCCGCCCAGGCTGACCTGGTCCTGTCACGTGACACCTGTACCCGAAGCCCAGCACCCCCGGCGCTCCTCCACCTGCCTCCTCACAGTGACCTTCCCTGCTTCGGGTCTAGCAGCTCACTTCCATATTCAAAGGTAACAATACACCAAAAAATTACACACACACACACTTTCATGCCAGGTTCACACACTGTTTGGAGGCAGGGAGACCATGAGAGCCATCTGGGCACTGAACCCAGGAGGACAGCAACTCCTACCACGTGTCGAGCGCCGTGAGGCTCTCAGCGCGTTTGCAGCCGAAGCCACGAGCGCAGACGTCAGCGCTAGTGCAGGTACCGGCAGAGGATAACCCGGTGCACAGAGAGAAAGTTTTTGGCTGGGGACTCTCTCGGGACGTTGTGGGCAGCCTGGACCCAGTGTGAGAGCTGCTGTCTGAAGAGGAGGAAAAGAGCCCCTCTGAGCTGCAGACAAGAGCAGCCCAAACTAGTGACGATCCACCATCGTATTCAGTTCGGTCTCCCGTGAGAAAGAAAAGGATGTTCTGATCAGCTGGCATCTGGCATAGCATTTTCTTCCTGTAAAAACTGAGAGGCAACAGGACATACAGAAAGCAGAAGAATCTGCTTTTAGATGTTTTGCCTGCACCAGTGAACTCTGGCTCATGAGCCTGGAGGGCGGTCACTCACCACAGTTCTGCGCCGCACCTGACCTGGAGTCCCCCATTCTTGCCTGCCCCCCCACTAAGTCGGCGCTTCCTCCAACCTCTGCTGATGGCACGTGAGTCACTGGCCATGGGAGGTGGGTCAGAGGTGAGACCCACAATCCAAACCCCAGAGTCACAGGCTCTTCAGGTCTGCCCGCTGAGCCTGGCCTGTATTTCCAACTGCCTCCAGGCAACTCCACCTGGGGCCCCAGAGACCCCCCTAACCTGCCGCAGCGACTTCAGTGTCTTCTCCACTAAGCCCACCCATCCTCACTCACCTCCCCCCCCCCCACTGGGCACAGCCAGGGAGGCAGCTGGACACCAGAAGCTGGAGGACAATCTGACACCCCGCTCTCCCTCCCACCTCTAGTGCTACCGCCTCTTCCTCAGCAAGGTTTGCCACCTTCTCCCTCTTCTCCCTCTTCTGTCTCACCCTCATTTGCCCGTCGTCTCTCCCAAGGCTGCTGCCTCCCTCCTCCTGCCCCTTCTCTGCCCAGGCCCTCTTCCCACCAGGGCAGGTGAGGGCCCGCCTGTTCAGCAGAGCTGACCCAGACCCCATCCGCGGTGCGCCTCACCTGCCCCCCCCCCCCCAGCTCTCGGGGCACCATTCTCCGCTCACACTACTTTTCATTTCCTGCCAACACATCGACAGGTTTACACCGCCCTGTGGCTAAGGATTCCCCTCCGTGAGTGCTGGTGCACCGCGCACGTCCCGGCGGGCAGAGCCCAGCCTTCCCAACCGGCCACGGCGCCCCCCAGCCTGGGCTCCCGGACACGCCACAGGCCTTTCCCTGACTGAGTCTCTCCTCCTCCTGCGCCTCCTCAGACACGGAGAGGACCAATGCTGAAGCCATGCCTGCTTAAAGGACACGGGGACCAGACAAGAGCACAGCAGAGAAAACAAGACAGAAACCCAAATCCCATGTGGCCGAGGCAGTGAAGACGATGCCAGAGAGGCCAAGCCTGAGCCAGAGCTGCCCGGGGCCAGGGCAGAGGGAAGGAGCCCCCTTCCTCGTGCACGACCAGGGGACAGTGGGGCCGGCAGCACTGGCATGGCGACACGCGTAGGAGACAAAAACAGGACATCACACAATTTCCCACTTAAAAAAGCAAATTAAATCAGAAGGCTGAGCTAGCTAGGCCGGCATGACGGGGTCTTTCCTGACGACAGCAGCGTCTGGCTGTGCTGCAGGAGAAGAGAGATGGCCAGTGGAGAGGGGCTTGGCACCAGCTCTGTCACAGAGTAGTCCAGGCCCTGCTCATGGCCTAGAGTGCAAGGTGACAGAAGCGTGAGGCCGAGGGCTTGTCTGCCAAGTGACACGGTTGGGGGACAGGGGATCTGCACAGAAACGCAGAAGCATCACCCCATGTTTGAGACTCACTAATAATTTCAAAAGCCTGTAGCATTAACCAATCCTGGTTTGGTGGTTACCCAATGCCGAATGATGTTACTACTGCAATTCTGGTTTCAGGGATAAAAGGTAACATGATGAGGGTATTTAACAAACTCTGTAACCTAAGTCACATCTTCTGAACGAAGTTCTATACTAAAAACCCACTGTGAGTCTGAGATCAGGTGCCATGTATGGAGTGCGCGCCAGACATGAGGGCAGCGATCACACGGGTTTTTAAAGACACATTAAAGCAGCACTAACAAAAGAACCAAGCTTCAAGGGCGAAATATTTCGCAAGTTTCCTCTTACCTCCCTCGCCCCACTCTGGAGACCTGGCCCTGCTTACGGGACTGGAACCCTCCCACTCCATGGCACTGAGTTTGACACGGCCTTGCACACGCTGGCCACATCACAGAATTCTCAGGACAATGCTGAGCTCTAGAAGAGTCGGGAGTGGAGTCCACATTTTGCTAATAAATGCAGAGGTTAGAGGCTTGTCCCAGGTCACTGAAGAGCTAAAGGGCCCCTTGGGAACGGAAGCTCCATCTGTGAATGCCAAGGCCAGCGTGCTCGCCGCCCGGTCCCGTGGCCACCGTCCCCTCTGTGTGACAGCCACAGCAGAGAAGTCAGCGGGGCCCTGGCGCACCTTAGACCAGGCAGAAAGAGCCCTAGACCCCAACAGCCCGTGCCCCTGAGCCTCTCGTCAGTGGCTGTGCCTGGGTGGCGCCCACCTCTCCAAGACCCTGCCACACGGAAGGATGGGGCTTTGTCTGCTCTGCGGGCTGCTGTGCTCCAGTACTCCTCTCCTCTCCTCTCCTCGGCGGGTGTTCACTTGACTTCTACAGCCTCACCTGAGCAGTCTGGCCCCAGATGCTGGGCGCAGGCCGGGGCTAATCAGCTGGGAAGGGCATTGTTCTCTCGCCTACCCTGGGCACCCTCTGGGAGGATGTGTCAGCCAAGTGCACCTGAACTTCCCCAGGGCTGTGGAGCCACTTCATTCCTCCCTAGCAAAAGCAATCTCATTGGTTATCCCAAATATCTGTCTTGACTTTTTTTAAAAGAAATCATTTTCCATAAAAAAAATCCAAATGTTTGCTTTCTTAACTTATTAGATGTCAATCATTTTTATTTCATATGTCCAGTTCTAAGAGGGAACATCATTTAGTAAAAATCTTTTTAAAAAAGTACTTCACTAGGGCCTCCCCGGTGGTGCAGCGGTTGAGCGCTGGGTTGCGAAGCTGCCCGCGGCCTCTGCGGCGCCGGTTCGATCCCCGGCTGCTCCCCGGCCACCAGAGGAGGGTCCCACATGGTGCGCAGACCTCTCCTGCCACCCGCTGCTCCCCTCAGCAGTGTACTTCAGTCCTTCTGCCTGCTCTGCTCCCCCCTCTGGCTCTGGTGAATTCTCTCACCCTCCCGCGCTTCTGACTGTACCCAGTGCATGTATAAACAAAACAAACAAATATAATAAATAAATAAATAAAAACATGCCTCTATTAAAAAAAAAAAGAAACTAAAAAAAAAAAAAAAAAAAAAAAAAGTACTTCACTGGTTATAAACAAGTGCTTCTACATTTGAGAATCAAGTTTCAACAACTGTGAATATTTAATAGAAGGAAAATTATGCCAATCATATAGCCAACTCAATTCCTGCAGGGTACTTTTCATCAATCTTCAGCCCTAACACACACTTGCTCTGTGATCCAATATCTCAAATTCAGAAAAAGTATAGTACATTACAGGCGTCTTCCTTATTCCTAAAAGAAATATGTTTACTTGTTTTTTGAGAGCTTGTTCTAGAAATAAGAATACAGGATTTAAAAGTATTAATTAAAAGTAATGAGTAACCGTAAGTATATTTATAAGCTAAGTAATAAGTCTAAATATATCTTTCTTAAAATAGCACTGACCATTAACCATTAAAAAAAGTGGGAAGTAATATCTGTTAACAGTTAGGAAAACATTATGAAACATGCAGATCTCCAGTCTTAAATAATGTAAAATTATGTTCCTAAGGCTACACTAAAAAATAGGACTTAAGTTTATTACACAAATATAGAAGTGCCCCTGGACATGGCTAACCAGGAATCAATACAACAGTCATTCTGCCTTCAAATCAAATGCAGTGAAGGCACCATACAAGGTTTTAAGACTCTCGAGCTGTTCATAAATGGTCTCATTTAAGGAAGCAGAGTATTGGCGGATTTTCATAAATTTCTAGACGGAAAGCAGGAATAAAAAAAGTAATGCCTTTTTCCAAGTCACAAGGTTACAAAGTTAAGGACTGAAAGTGGAAACACGGTGTCATTAATCTGTCAGTCACTGCCACCCTCTTCCCAAAGCCCTCTTACACGAACCTCCCCTAAACTGAGCTGCAAACAAGCTGCGAGGGTTGAATTCTGGAGGGTAAACTAGGTGAAGTTACACATTTTAAAAAGTTAAGATATTGAGCTGGTCTAAGACCAAAATGACTAACTTTTCATTTTGTTTAGTTTGCATGAACTAGTTAAGTAAAGTGAGCTAGAAGTTTAAGAGCAGGGCAATAGTCTGCCAGAAAAGAAGAAACTAATTTGACTTTATCCGTATCAGGATCATGCTCACTCCAAGTTTCCCAGTCAGTTTTACAGTTATCCTTATTTTCCTCTGTAAATGGGAAATCACTGTACTCTAGAGCATAATTTCCGAACCACAGCATTTATTCCTCCATCAGGACAAGCTGGGGACAGGGTAACTGTAACCCTGTGGATGTGGGCTGATTAAAAGAGCACACACTTAAATAAAAATATGACATCTGTAAAATGAACTTAACAAATTGTAATACCACAAAAACTAGGACATATGGAACAGTCAAAACCTTCACCTCACTCAGAATCTTGTGTGAGAATGGCTAAAATGAAGAGCAGTGGGTTTCTGGGGTTTCAGTATTTCTGCCTCTGCTTATTCCTTCGTGGTGGAAAAGCACCCGGTCTGCATTTGGGTGGAGCAGAGAAGAGAAGCACAGGAGATGGATGACAAGTTCCAGTTCCAGAGGTGAAGCGCTACCATTAAAAAAGAGGAGAAAACAGTCTCCATGGCAGGTCACGGTCAGAAACAAGGCTCTGTCTGGTCCAGCCCCTGCGCTAGGCTCTTGGGTTTTGTCAGCAAGACCTTACCCTGCACAGGCCCCGACACCTGCGTTATCTCATCCGCAACAGTAGGTGTTATATTTATGTTATCCCAAGTCTTCCACTGTGAAGTCCCCATGGTTACTAAAGCCAATTTAAATACTTCAGATACTAAGGTATTTACTAGAGCTATGAAAGGAAGCCGAATGGATTAGGCAAGCAGTGTAAACAAGTGTGAGTCTACAGAGCAATCCAACAGCCAAACCAAGCCAAGAACAGGTTGCCTAATTCTTAGTCCAAAGTTGACTTGCTGGACCTGGATCCCTAAATGGGAACATGGCTATCCAGAAGTTCTCCCACTTAAGAGTCCAGTGGAGAGCAAGCACAAAAACAGGGTGATATGTCTTATCATCTGATCTTATGTCAAAAAAGAGTTGGTAGTATTTTTCAGAGTTGGAATAAAAGACAGGAGAGATGAAGCTGCAGTTCCTGACGCCCACTAACCCAGACCCCAGACCGGTGACCACCTAAGGCAAAGGCAGAGAGCGGGAGTGAGGTCCACATTTACCTGTGCTGAGGTGTAAGTACCGGCACTTGAGATTTCCAGTCCACTGTCATGCTACACAGAAGTCACAGCACGAGTTCGGCCAACCAAATGACAGAGAAGACTTTGGAAAGACAATAAAGCTTCACAGAGATCCAAGTGTTTGGTATACACAGCTGTATATACACAAATTAGTTTCCATGCATTTATTTTCTAGCCATATATACGAACAAGGAGAGGTATAAAATAAAAAATATGAACAATGTAGTTAGATTTTTTTAATTGGACAGGAGGGTTGGAAAACACCTAATTTGTATGTTCATTTTAGGAATTCTAAGTTTTTAGGATAGATTGACCAACGTCTTATTTGTAAGAGCCCAAAATGCCTTGAGAGAAATGATAAAGGAGACTTTGGAACTAACGGATGATTAGGTCACCAACACACAGTTTATGACTTTCAGAAATGCAAAACAAAGGCTCCCTCCCTTAGGAAGAGTGACTGGCGCATCTGAGGCAGGCCGGGCACTAGGCCATAAAACCAGGGCGGTCTTAAGTCAAGTGCCAGCACCTTGGCCGGGAATACCTTTGATTCTGGGAATACCTTTGATTCTGGGAAAAACACTTCTCACAGAACAAGAGTTGGGAAGCCCCTCTGGTCCAGGCCAGCCCTGGACAGGGGAAGAGGAAAAGGCTGAGGAGCAGGGGAAGGAGCAGGGCTGGGGGATTGGGGAAAGCAGAAACCACTCAGGCCTTTGCGGATGGCTGAAAAAACTCCAATCTCCAGGAAGCTCACCCATGATGCCACGCAGAGCAGAGGCAGATCCCAGTGTAAGGGGCCTGTGTGGAGGCCCAGATGGCATTACACTGGCTGGTGACCCCAGCTGAAAGTTTCTGATGTGCTTACCTATGTCCTGATCCCCCAAAGCTGCCACTGTCATCGCTCCTCCACATAACTGATAGAACTGGGGAGCCAATGAGGCCTATCTCAACAACTGAAACTGGAAGTATCTCCCTGATGATAACTTTCTGCAATTATAGGTTAAAAAAGTCCAGCTTCAAACATGTTAAGTAACCATTCTCCGTCAGTCACACTGATGAAGAATGTGGGTGGGGACATGATGAACTCTACGGAGGCCTACCCTACCAGCCAGGCAGACCCCTCCTCAGGAGGGATGTTGGGGGTACTCCAAGGGCCCAACATCTGTGTACCTTAAAAGACTCCTGACAACTTCATTTTCTGTGCACGCAAAACAACAAAAAGAGGCTTTTATAACACTGACTTTCCTGAAACTCAGAAATATTTTTAAAAAATTATAATGAAACCTGACCACATTTGTTTCTATTTGCACTGAGGCACTTTTAATATTGCACTGGGGCACTTTTAATATTCAAATCTAAGTAAGTAAACAGCTAAGAGATTTACTGTCTTGTCTTACTTCCAACCTGCCAATTCAAAAAGTAAAATACTCTTGCAAGCAGGTGTTTAACTGACATCTACACCCAACAGAGTTGAGAATTTTTAAGTGGTTGATTGAAAAAGACTGAACAAGGCACCGTCTGTGCTTAATTTTTCAAAGACATGGACCTCTTCAAAAATTGAATCTATGTCTAGTGAGTACTGACAATAAGCAAATCAAGGAGGATCTCACCTGATGAGCCTTAGAACATTTAAATATTCCTACATTTTCAATTCCTGCATACAAAATAAATATTTATTTGCATGACCAGCAGGAAATGACGGCTAATACAGTCCCTATGGGGCGCCAGATGCAATTCTCTCTCTGGGAGAAACGTTAACTGAGTTATGCTTCGGTGGCTGTTCAAAAACTTACAATTATGTAAGAATTAAAACGTGATCACCCCGTGCAACGAAACACGACGTCTCAAAATCTTTTTCCTTTAAACCGAATGCACCGGGGCAACAGGCACACGCGTGCAATGTACAAAAATCTTTAAAAGCGAGAACAAAACCATCGCTTCAAGGAACCACACAACAACACGCTCCGAACTTGCCACTGAAGCGGGAGTCACAGCGCATCTCTGCTCACCCCGCAATCACATATTTTTCCAAAGTGGCTCCGAGCTCCTGCTCGGGGCGAGCTCGCAGGTGCCATGTCGGGGCGGGCGGGCCGGGCTGCTCCGGGCCAGCGACCCAACTTCACGGTCCAGCCCGTCCTGGGGCGGCGGCGAGGCCAACCTCCCCGCGGGCGCGTTAACAGGTTTCTGGGGTTCAGTGCGCGTGAAACACGGAACCGAGGAGTCACCTTGGCCCGAGAGGAGGCGGCGCGCTCGCCGCCCGGGGCTGGGCTCCGGGGCGCGAGGGTCCCCAGGGCGCGGCGCGGCGGGGGCGCCGGGGGTCCCCGCGGTCCCCAGAGCCGTCTGGGGCCCGGGCGCCAACTTCCCGCGGCCGCCCGCGGGGACCCCCAGCCCGGCGCCGGCGCGGGGTTCGGGCCGCGCGCCCCGGGCTGTCAGCGGCCGCGGCGCCGCGGGAGCCCCGGGGAGCCCGGGGACCCGCGCGCCCCGCGGCCCCGGCCGGCCCGGGGTCCCCCGCCGCCCCGCGCGCCCCGCCGCGGCCTAGCGCCGCCCGCCTCACCTGCGCGGCCGCGGCGCCGCTCCCGCCGCCGGTCGCTCTCGTAGAAGCCCAGCGTCTCGGTGCGCTGCGGCGCCGGCGGGGCCCGTGGCCGCCGCCCGGCTGCTGCCCCTCGCCGCGGCCGTCCCGCTCGGAGCCGTCCGCGCCGCCCTCTCCCGCGGCGGCC